ATATGTATAAGAACTTAATTTCCTATATGTGTTAAGAATATAAAGTCTCTCAGGGTTAAATTCTCTCGTACATTTGTGGAACGTTCGTCGTCATGGGAAGAAAGAAGCGAGGAAGAGGAATGGTTTAAAAAAATATAAAGGGAAATAAGTAAAAAAATGGACTGAGAACAGGTAAAGATGTGACAGTAGTTTGTGAGGCAAACGGCACCTGTACCTAGCTTTTTGTGTTTGTTTTTTGTGGGGGTTTTTGCGTAATAAAACATAAGACGGGTAGCTTATGGATCGGGGCAATGTGTGTGTGTTTTTTTTTTTGCTTTTTTTTTGTTTTTTTTCGACAAAGTGAAAGTTAAAACGAGATGTAAGTGAAAGGAGGACAGAAGCAAGACAGATCGCGGGAGCTTTGAGGTGATCTTTAAAAAAAATGAAGAGACTTAAGAAAAAAAAGATAAAAACGAACAGAATTTTAGTGGGTTATAATCGGTACTTTGTGTGTGTGTGTGTGTGTGTGTGTGGATTTCTACACACACACACACACACCTTAGTCTTACCTGTCGAATATCCCATCAATCCATTACATCGTGTTATTAGAGAGATATAGTAATAACTTCGATGTTTATTATGTAGTTTAACATCGACCCACCTTCCAACCCACCTCTCAACCCACCTTCCAACCCACCTTCCAAACCACCTCCCAACCCACCTTCCAGCCCACCTTCCAGCCCACCCTACAATGTGTATAGTACAGTCATCTTCTCACACCCTCAACATAGTGAATTTCCGTACCACCATCATCATTACACCTCCTCCCCCCTCCCTCCTCCACAGCACCCCATCCTCCTCCTCCTCCACAGCACCCCCCATCCTCCTCCTCCTCCACAGCACCCCATCCCCTCTTCCCTCCACAGCACCCCATCCTCCTCCTCCTCCACACAGCACCCCATCCTCCTTCCTCCACAGCACCCCATCCTCCCCCTCCTCCCACAGCACCCATCCTTCCACAGCACCCCATCCCTCCTCTTCTCCTCCACAGCATCCCAATCCTCATCCTCCTCCACAGCACCCATTCTCTCCTCCTCTCCATCCTCCTCCTCCTCCTCCACAGTGCCCCAATCCCCATCCTCCTCCTCCTCCTCCACAGCACCCCAATCCCCATTCTCCTCCTCCTCCTCCTCCTACCTCCCTACCTCTCCCACCATCTCTCTGTGTTGTACTGGTCAAGGGAAAAAAAAAGGTACAAATTACACCTCGCTCTTATAACCGCTTAAATGCTGTGTAAACCATACGATCGCCTAGCCGGAAACTCTCTCTCTCTCTCTCTCTCTCTCTCGTTTGATCCAAGGGAGGTCAGAGGTCAGGTAATGTAAGGTTCATATCTCACATGGATTAAGTCATTAAGACTCACGTATCCACATCTAGCTCTCCCCCAACCTATACGTTTCCGGGGCTAAATACCTTAAGTCTTTCTTCAGGTAACGAGTAAGTCTTTGATTGAGATAAACACCGAGTCTTTTTTTATTTTTATTTTTTTTTATTTTTTTTTTGACGCTGGATGGTGGTTGAGGTTCTTGCATCATTGGAATTTAGTTTTAATGTTTATATCGACGAGGCGGCGGGATAATATCAATACAAAATGAAATAATGAAGCAGTAGGTTTGGCTTGGTTTGGTTTGGTTTGGTTAGATATACGTTAGGTTACCATTAGAGTGTTTTAATCATCAGGTGAAATAAGCTATACACGGGGTTGCCTAATCCTCACGTGATCCGAATAATCGTACCCAACATCTCGGTGTAAATTAATTCCAGGTGTGTGAGAGATGATCTAAGGCCAGGTGAGGAGGTCGTCTCAGAAGAAGAGTTTATGAGAGATATTATGAAAAATTTATGTCCAGGGAGTGGGGTGAGTGGGCGGTGTGGGGTGAGTGGGCGGAGTGGGGGTGAGTGGGCGGAGTGGGGGTGAGTGGGCGGAGTGGGGGTGAGGGGGCGTCCTAACTCAGGGTGGTGATGGCCTGCTCGAATTTCCTGCGGTATTTAAGATCACGTCTCAGACCTCAAGGGTGACGGTGATTAGTAATGGGGAAAGTGGGTGGGAAGGGGGTGGTGGGCGGGGAGGAGGGGGATAGTGGATGGGGAGGAGTGGTGGTGAGTAGGGAGAAAAGGAGGACTTGTTTTGGTGGGTGGGGAGGGGAGATGAGGTAGTGGGGAGGGGAGGAAGAGAATGGTGGGTGAAGAGAAGGGGTGATGGTGGGTGGGTCAGTGGGGGGAAGGGAAGGTTGGGTAGGAGGGAAGAAGGAAATGGAGCGAGGGGAGAAAATGTGGAAGGAATGGGAATTAGCTTATGGATGGAAAGAGATGGAAGAGGGTAGGAAGGAAAGCGAAACACAGGGAAGAAAAGGTCGAGAAGAAACAATAAGAGAATAGGGAAAGATGATAAATAGGAATAAGAGCAGAGGAGAACATATTATAGATAATAAAGTAAGGAATATAAACGCAGAAGAAAAAAAGAGAGACAGGAGATGGAAGAGGAGATGAAGACGGTGGAAGAAGAGGAGCGGGAAAGGAAGGACAGACGAGACACTGTTCCAGGAAAAGATTGAGGAAGAGGGGGGGATAGGTTAGAGAGGGGGGAGCAGAGGCAGTAGAAAAGATATGTGGGAGGGAGGGGGGGAAAGAAGGAGGGAAGGAAGGCAGAAGTTAGAGAGAATAGGCAGGAGTTGATGACAGGTAGGAGAGGAAAAGTGAAAGAAGTCTATTGAAGGAATGAATGCCAGAAAAGAAGGAACTATGAAAAGCATAATAAACTGAGAATGAAGACGAACATCGATAGCAAGGAAGAAGACGATAATAAATCCCAGTGTGATACATGAGAGAGAGAGAGAGAGAGAGAGAGTCACAAATAGAACGAAAGGAGAATTCAACTAACGGTGTGTCCGTGAAGGAAAATCGGCTGGTGGAGGAGTGTGGCGTGTGTTGGGGAGGCCTCAAGGTCGGGCAGGCAGGCAGGCGGGTTGGGGCACGACCAGAGGTGGGGCCTGATGCAAGTAGGACAGTGGTGGGGGGGGGAGGGGGGCTCGTTCTCCATGAGTGTACGGGAGGAGAAGGAATGTGGAGATGTTGTTAGAGAGAGACGGATTGGCAGAGAGAGACGGATTGGCAGAGAGAGACGGATTGGCAGAGAGAGATAGAATGAGGAAGATGATGGTAGTAAGAAGGAAGAATTGTGGAGACACCGAGGGGGGGAAAGAAGGGATGAGAGAGAGAAAGGGAAGGGTTAGACAGGATGGAAGATGAGGTTGTGAGACAGACAACAAATAGGAGAAACAATGAAGAGAGGAACAGAAGTAATGGGTGTAAAAGGAAAGTTTCCGTGTGTCTATAAGGTAGAATAAAGACCAATGAGAAGATTACGGGTTAAGTCTCGTTAATAACATGCCGATGATAGGCAGAAAGTAACGGGTATTTAGTAAATATAGTACGAGCGAGTTGGTTTGTCCACTGTCTGTCCGGTATCCGTCAAGACAGATCTCGTGTAGATGGTCGTCACAGCTATTTATATTAGTTTTTAGATACTTATCATCATGACCTGGCCAGCATTCCTTCCCTCAGACGATTACACCCGGTGGGTCGGTTAATTGGCTCATAAGCGTGACGCCACCAGCGATTACTTGGTGGTCCGACATGCAGGAAGATGATCACATCCAGAGAGCAGCACAGGTGTTGTTATATGGTGGTACAGAGTCTGACAGCAGTGACCACAGTACTAAGGACCGGCATCACTCAGCTCTGACCACAGTAGGGACCGGTTACCTGCCATGGAGAGCCAGCGAAATGGTACAGACATCTACAAATAAACTTGTTGGGTAAGAGGTTTCATTGGCCTTGAGCCAACTGGGACTTAGAGCAGAGGAACTGCTTCAGCTTGTAACCAGGTGGAAGGCTGAGACATGGCGTCCATTGGTCCACATTTTAGGTCAGTTCTGTGATCTTGTTGCACCACATGAGACACCTTCTTAACAGTGGTACAGGTAGTTATAGTGTCACTCCGGCCCCATGACTGGTAAATATACACGTAGAGAGACCTGATGGACATCCGGGACTAAGGGCCTTCGCCCCCGTGAACCTCCTGGCGGCACTGAGTGACTAAAAACCTATGATCCGTTTACTTCCTGTTGCCATCTTAGGTATTGTTGTTGCCACTCCCACTTTTGTACTCGTCTACCACTCTCACCACCTCACCTCGCCCCTTCCTCCTGTTCCCAACACCCTCACCATTTTTTTTTCTCCATCTCATCGTCAAAGCACAAAACATAAAAAGCAGTTTGTAATGAAGGGAATGTGATATTCTTATTTCATCATCATCCTAGCCAGTCATAATTATGTCAATTAAGACTCTCAAGTTTTTAATGCCTTCCCAGTATGTGACTCCACAGACAAGTGGATAAAAACCATTGTACAAGAAGAACGGTTGTTGAAACACGTGCTTCTTGCCAACCTGCTGTCGAAAACGTGACACTCTGGCGTCTTCACACAGCCAGCCAGCCAGGAACGTCTCCGTACACTTCCGCGAGGCTCGACCGTGGGGAGCGTGGGAGACCAGCCTGAGGGCGGGCTTGCATGAGCCTTCAGGGAGGGCGGGAGAGAGGAGGGTCCTGTAACATAAGCAAAGTAAAACACTACTGGAAGAGGGAATTCGGCACCAGCGAGGAATATAATGTATACAAACATACAATTGTATAAACCATGTTGTATTTTTTACTCTTTTTGTTGACAGTTACAATGACATCGATAAAAGAAGCATGCAATTAATAAAAGATATTATGTAAGGGGGACGGCACCCCAGCCAGCTGAGTGACGGTATGGGGCGGAGTTTCTGCTTGGTTAGTCCCGCCTCCCAGATTCCCTGTGCCGTGATTGGTCCTCGCGGCTTCCCTAGATTATCTAGCCCAGCCCCCTGGTCTGTTGTGATTGGTTTACTGTTACTCATTACCTCCCTTTGTTTGCAGGTCTGGGGTTGGGAGCCCGGTAGTGGGCGGCGCGCTGGACTGCAAGATGACAAACGGGGTGTCTGAGGGCGTGTCGGGGGCGGCGCCCGTGGAGGGGCTCCTGTTTGCGGGCGGCGCAGAGGGCGTTAAGCCGGAGCCAGAGGACCTGACGCGCCGAACCGTCAGTCCCGCCGACCGCGGCGTACTGTGCGAAAAGCGACGACCGCTCCTGCCCCCGCCACCACCCCAGGGAGAATCGCCGCCCGCTTTGGACGTCGCACCCGCTCTCAAGGACGATCTCGACCACCACGTGATCAAAGAAGAGCTGGAGCACCACGCTCTCAAAATAGAGTCGGGGGACCGTCCTCGCTCTAACCACACACTAGTGATACAGGCGCCTCTCGACTCGGCCGAGAAGATGAGCGCCGGTACGGGCAGCTACCTGGCGGGGTTCTCGGCTTCCTCCCCACAGTCCAGCTACGAGCATTACCTCTCACCCTCACCACAGTCTTATTCCACGAGCACATCCCCGGCTGTGCGCGGCTCCCCGGCTGTGTACGCTGTGACTGATAATTACTACCGTGATTACTATTCGTCTAGCGAGCCGCAGTACTCAGTGAGGCAGGAGTACCCCTCGACAGACACCGGCTTCGTGGACCGCTACCTGAGGCCGCCGTACAAGACGAACGGCGTCTCCAGTACCCTCACTGTGGACTTACCTTCACCCGCTGACTCAGGCATCTCAGCCGACGCCATCACACCACGCGACCAGCCCGTCCTTGCTCAGGTAAGTTACTTGTGGTATTGATAGGTGTTCATGCTGTGACCTTCCTTCGCCCATGACCTACCCGTGCCTATTTTCACCCACGCTTCTCATCCATCCTACCCACGCCTCTTATCCATCTTACCCACGCCTCTCGTCCATCCTACCTACGCCTCTCATCCATCCTACTCACGCCTCTCATCCATCCTACCCACGCCTCTCATCCATCCTACTCACGTTTCTCTCACCCATCCTACCCACGCCTCACCCATATTATCCACGTTTCTCTCACCCATACTACCCACGCGCCTCTCACCCATGCTGCCCACATTTCTCTCATCCACCTTACCCACGTATGTTCCCATCTCCCCATGTGTCTTTCACCCATCCTACCCACGTCTTTCTCACCCATGGCTCTATTTCAACTATCCCACACAGTTCCCTCCCTCTCATTCATCCTGCCCTCGTGTCTCTCATCCCTCCTACCTACGTGTTTCTCATCCATTCTACCCATGTGTCTCATCCCTCCTATCTATGTGCCTCTACCATCTTACCTACGTGTTTCTCATCCCTCCTACCTACGTGTTTCTCATCCCTCCTACCTACGTGTTTCTCATCCCTCCTACCTACGTGTTTCTTCGCCATCCTACTTGTGTGTGTCTCACTCATCCTACCTAGGTATTTTGTTACTCATTCTATCCATGTACTCACCAGCTTAAGTTCCTCTTAATAGCTAAAGTTTCTCTCAATAGCTAAAGTTCCTCTCACTAGTTTAAGTTCTTTTTATGAGCTAAAGTTCCTCCCACTAGCTAAAGTTCCTCTCACAAGCTAAAGTTCCTCTCACTAGCTAAAGTTCCTCTCACTAGCATAAAGTTCCTCTCACTAGCTAAAGTTCCTCTCAGTGGCTAAAGTTCCTCTCAATGGCTAAAGTTTCTCTCACTATACGGTCTTCTTTTCCATTTTTCTTTCATAATTTCTCTTTTCTTCAGTTTTCTAGTTTTCTCTCCTTTCCCATCCCATGTTCCTCCTATTCCACCCTTCCATAATCTTTCTCTCTTCTCCCCATTTCAGTCTTATCTCTCTCTCTCTCTCTCTCTCTCTCTCTCTCTCTCTCTCTCTCTCTCTCTCTCTCTCTCACTCACTCACCTGTTTACCTGGCTTAATTACACCTCAAATTCAGGTGTTCTTATTCTTTTCTCTGGGTTTGTGTCTCTTCCCTTCTTTATCCATTCTTCCCCATTATTACCGCCTTTTGTATTTATCAAGTGATGTTTTTATCGTGATTCCACGATATTCCTTTACCTTAAAAAGTGTATACAGTGAGAAGTATTGATCCACTGAGAAATATAACTGCCGATATTGTAGGGAAATATTACACTTTAGATACGCTGAGAAATATTATTACTTGTATTAACTTAAGTGTAAACAAGAAAATATTACCCTAAGTGTGTCTTTAAAGTATTAGTAGACTCAGAAATATGAACTACCTATGAAAAAGAATTATGTGAGATATATTTTCGGAAATATATGTGCACTTAGACTTGTTAATTTATATGTAATGACAAATATTACCAAAGTGTCAATAAGGAAATAATAATAGTAGTAAATCTAGCTTTTTTTTAATATGTCAATAACGTTGATTATTACTGTGTTTATAGAAAAGGGAATTGTCTGACTACAGGAAATTCAATGTCAATACCAGCATAATAAATTCTATGTAGGATTTATTTAGTAATTTATTCGTATATGATAAGCAGGTGAAGTCCATGGTGATAGAATGATAAATATGTGGCTGGAATAAGGTGTTAAATTGCTAAAAGTATGATAGGAATGATGAAGGAATTGGCACACCCCGGTACTTGCATATTTACATGGACTATCTGTGTAAATTCATGCATATATTTACATACATACATACAATCATACGTAGACTGCATACATAATTACTTGATATACATACAAGCTGAATACGAAACATATACAAAGTGAACGTAAATAAAAATACTAATATGTATTTCCTACCCGATGCATATATACATAGATAAATTCATACATAAATGCGTACAGAATACGAGGTGGGAAATGGAAGCAGATATCACACAGCATACATACATACATACATACATACATACATACATACGCCTAGAGACAGTCACCGTGAACAAGGACGGACAGTCAGACACGCTAGGAGCCTTACTCTCAGAACTGTACTTCCGAGGCATCGAAATCTCTCCGTCCTCCATTCATGTCGGCGGGATGCAGTTATCCCTGTCTACCCCCGGGCGCTGTCGTGAGCAGGAAGGGTCGCCCACCACCTCACCCCCATGACTCTGCACTACCCACGCCCATGCCCACGGCACCCTGACCCCCCTGCCCACACTAGTTTAAGGGTCATGGGGGCACAGACTGGGTGATTGACTGGCCCATGAACGAAAACATGTGGGGTTAAAGTGGAGGCGATTTGCTGATTGGTTTATGGCGTGGTGGAAGTTCTCGGGGGTGATGAGTTTAACAGAGCAGGTTAAAGGGTTGAATGGCTTAAGTAAGGCAGGTTAAAGGGTTGAATGGCTTAAGTAAGGCAGGTTAAAGGGTTGAATGGCTTAAGTAAGGCAGGTTAAAGGGTTGAATGGCTTAAGTAAGGTAGGCTAAACGGTTGATTGACTTAAACAAGGCAGGTGAAATGGTTGATTGACTTAAGCAAGGCTGGTTAAGGGGTTGAATAAAGTTGAATAGGACAAGTTCCTCGCCAAGTTAAGAGAGTAGAATGGTTTACGTACTTAGGTGAAGAGGATGACAGACAGACAGACAGACAGACAGACAGACAATATAAGAGATGGAAACATAGGTAGTCACAGATCCAAGTGATTATATGTTATTATTGACGTTTATACTGTGTGTGTGTTATGCGTGTGAACATGATACAAGTTTGATAATGTGAACATGATAACTTATGAACATGATACAAGCTTGGTATGTGAACATAATATAAATCTGGTATGTGAACTTGATATAACTTGTGAACATTATGCGAGCTTGGTATGTGAACATAATACAAGTCTGGTATGTGAACATGTTATAAATATGACTTGTGAACATGATACATACAGATAAACAATAATATACAAAACACCTGAGTGTCTATCGTAAGAAGAAAATTTATGAAAGAAAGAAAGAAGGAAAGAAAGAACTGAGATGTCCCGGACGAAGATTGAAAATTAGATTTGCATGAAGAAAAGATACAGAAAATAACGAAGATGATTTTGTCGATAAGTGATAAAAAAAAGGCAGAAGGACGATGGAATAAAAGTGTAAACAGTGAAAAAAGACGTTGAGAATAATCGGATGGTGAACTATGATGGTGTTGATAGTGTTAGGTATAGTGTGTGTTAGTTTGTACTGTGTGGTGACTCAAGTGGTGGATACTGTATGGTGACTCAAGTGGTGGATACTGTATGGTGACTCAAGTGTTCATTGTGTGGTGACTTAAGTGGTGGATACTGTATGGTGACTCAAGTGTTCATTGTGTGGTGACTCAAGTGTTGAATACTGTATGGTGACTCAATTTTATACTGTGTGGTGACTTTAGGCCATACTCAGTGGTGACTTAAGAGTTTGATACTATGTAGTGACTCAACCAACGCTAGGTACAGAGTTGGTGACTTAACTAGTGCTAGCTATTAAAGTACTGACGTCAAATATTGTTAGGAAGTGACTGGTTACGACGTCGAAGAAAGGAAATCATAACGGGAACAGTCTTGGTGAAGAACAGACTTGGTGAACAACAGATCTTGGTGAACAACAGATCTTGGTGAACAACAGATCTTGGTGAACAACAGATCTTGGTGAACAACAGATCTTGGTGAACAACAGATCTTGGTGAACAACAGATCTTGGTGAACAACAGAAAGTTTTCATCACCAGAATTAAAGAATCAACACAATTTGATACCTAAACCGTGGACTATGTAACGTACAATGTCCCTGTCACAGAGAAGATAACGCTTGTAAAAAAAAATCAAAAGAAATTAAGTTAGTGTCACAGGGAGAAATATTTACATTGAGTTGATGATAAGAATACTGATAGCTACTGATACCTTAACAGTGAGTATAAACATTAGAAACATCCATTGTAAATACGAACTGAAGTGATAAGTGATTGTGTTTATTTACGGTATTTGATATAAACATTGAGAAAATTAGAGCTTTGAGTGTTTTATTAGTGGCTGAAGACGTAAAGACTCCGAGAATGATTTCAGGGAGAGACTCAGAAAGACACAAATTGATTTTATAAAAAATTTATCATAAGTATAAGTACGATTTTAAGTTGGAGTATGGCGTCTGTAAGTGTAATGTTACCACACATAGTATGCATGACTGTGTGTGTGTGTGTGTGTGTGACAGTTTATAAAGTAATGAGCAATACACCTGATAGTGATCGCTGAGTAAGTGGAAGGAAATGACTGACATAAGATCCCAGAGAACGAGGAAGATCAGAGTGAGGATAAGTGTAGCGCCGATATACATACTACCTTGTCAGCCCGAATAATTCCCCGAGCACAAAGCACAAAGTGGCAGTAAAGTGAAGTAATGTGAATAATTAAGAAGCGGAGAAATGAGGATGAAGGTGTGTAAATAACCCCAAAACTGTCATTTTAAAACTATGACAGGAAGGTATATTATATAGCGAACGCGAGGAGTGAAATTTGTCATAAGTTATTTTCTCCAAATTTCATAAAAGATTAATTTCAAAATGTGGATTGACAGAAAATTCTTGGCTTAGATGGAAAAGACAATTATATGAAAGATGAACGTAATGAGAATTTGATTACGAGGGAATATTATGAATGATTCCAAACTCAGACGAATTTACAGTGTAATAACTGAAAGAAAGACTGAAAATCCGGATAATTGGTCTTGAAATACAAAGTCTGGTGTGTTGAGTGTTATTAAAACTTGTGTTGATGTAACGAAGGAAGGAGCGAGACAGGAAACACAGTGGAAATATTGAAGTGTAAGAGGGAAAAT